TAAAAAATTAGTACTCAAGTAATATTTTACTAGGCTATCTTCACGTTTACTTAAATAATGTATCTGCATACAAAAAACCATACAATTAAAATTCAACATATTTTTTCTAGTGCAAAGTTAATAGTTTGTGACTAAACTAAAGCAATATTGCACAAAACAAAGACTCTGTATTGGCTTGGGATTAGCATCCTTGATGATGGTGTGAGTTTAAATCATTAAGCCTCAAACCACATTACTTTAAAAGAAAAAAAAAGAAATGTGACACGATAGTTTGCTAAAGCATTATGTAAACATGACAAGACAAATTTCCCTTTCTTCCATCACAAACACTGTGCATGACCGCTTTTATGGTGCTTTTTGTCCATTTCGAAGATAAATGATAACCTAGTCTTTATGGCTTAAAAGGCCAGGCCATTAGATAAGTTCACACTTATTCGTTTTAGCTAAAGAAGCAGGCTTACAAATGAGCAGTACAACAAGCTATTCTATTCATCGTAGCATTAGCACGAGAAGTAGCATACTGTAATGCCAAGTTCAAAAATTAAAATAGCTTATGTAAAAGATACAGCAGGCAGAAATATTTGTATTTATTTGTTTAAATAGGCCAAAGAAAGATTTATTTATGAAGAAACAAATAAAGTGAAGATTATAGCCTCTAGAAGACGCCCGCTGTACAACGTTTAAACACTCAAGAAAGATTATCAACAGAATGTGGCACACCAAATGTATTTTTACATAATATTATACAATCATGCTTAAAACACAAATATGAAAGTTTTAAATGTGATTGAGTTTTAATGTTTGTGTACACGGATATAAATTCAAAGTCAATCCTATATAATTACTCAATCAAATCAAATAAATAATTATTTATTTTTAATGGGATTGAGTTTGAATGTTTGTATATGTCACAGTCTTCGTCTGCACCATCCTGTCTGCGTCTCCAGCACTACACTTCCCAGGATCCTCTTGTCTCCACACCTGAACTCACTCCCTCATCAGCCTCCCGTTCAGCGTCCTGTATTCATCTGTTTCACCTGTTTTCACCTCGTTTAGTTTGATTCCTGTGTGTATTTAGTTCCTTCCCATTCAGTCTGTCCTTGTCGGTCGATGTTAATGTTACCCTGTGTTCCGCCTGCCTGTTTCCTGTTTATTTGAGATTAAACCTTTTGTATTGGAGCTTTTCTGGACTCTGCCTGTTCGTCCTTCTGCCTGAACCCGCACCCGTGACAGATCGACCGACCCCCAAAAAAGGGATTAAAATGGATTTAGCCGCTGTACAGCTTCTCCTCCTAGAGCAGGAGGATCAATCCCTCGAGGCCCACACACAGAGGTATCTGAATTTGGTACCTCATGTTCACTATGATGTTACCAGCCTCTGTGTGTTCTTCCTGCCCGGAGACGGGCCTCGAGGGGACTTTGCGGCCTATGTGGAGTGGGTGCTGGTGTCTTGTGGATCTCCCTTTACCCTGTATGACGTCACCAGCCCCACTCCATCGCTCGAATGCTCTCCAGAGACTGAATGCTCTTCATCGCTGGTTCCGTCCAGCTCTCCAGAGATTGAATGCTCTTCACCGCTGGTTCCGTCCAGCTCTCCAGAGACTGAATGCTCTTCACCGCTGGTTCCGTCCAGCTCTCCAGAGACTGAATGCTCTTCATCGCTGGTTCCGTCCAGCTCTCCAGAGATTGAATGCTCTTCACCGCTGGTTCCGTCCAGCTCTCCAGAGATTGAATGCTCTTCACCGCTGGTTCCGTCCAGCTCTCCAGAGTCGGAATGCTCTTCACCGCTGGTTCCGTCCAGCTCTCCAGAGATTGAATGCTCTTCACCGCTGGTTCCGTCCAGCTCTCCAGAGACTGAATGCTCTTCACCGCTGGTTCCGTCCAGCTCTCCAGAGATTGAATGCTCTTCACCGCTGGTTCCGTCCAGCTCTCCAGAGATTGAATGCTCTTCACCGCTGGTTCCGTCCAGCTCTCCAGAGTCGGAATGCTCTTCACCGCTGGTTCCGTCCAGCTCTCCAGAGTCGGAATGCTCTTCACCGCTGGTTCCGTCCAGCTCTCCAGAGACTGAATGCTCTTCACCGCTGGTTCCGTCCAGCTCTCCAGAGACTGAATGCTCTTCACCGCTGGTTCCGTCCAGCCCTCCAGAGACTGTATGCTCTTCACCGCTGGTTCCGTCCAGCTCTCCAGAGACTGAATGCTCTTCACCGCTGGTTCCGTCCAGCTCTCCAGAGACTGTATGCTCTTCACCGCTGGTTCCGTCCAGCTCTCCAGAGACTGTATGCTCTTCACCGCTGGTTCCGTCCAGCTCTCCAGAGATTGAATGCTCTTCACCGCTGGTTCCGTCCAGCTCTCCAGAGATTGAAAGCTCTTTACCGCTGGTTCCGTCCAGCTCTCCAGAGACTGAATGCTCTTCACCGCTGGTTCCGTCCAGCTCTCCAGAGTCGGAATGCTCTTCACCGCTGGTTCCGTCCAGCTCTCCAGAGATTGAATGCTCTTCATTGCTGGTTCCGTCCAGCTCTCCAGAGACTGAATGCTCTTCACCGCTGGTTCCGTCCAGCTCTCCAGAGACTGTATGCTCTTCACAGCTGGTTCCGTCCAGCCCTCCAGAGACTGTATGCTCTTCACTGCTGGTTCCGTCCAGCCCTCCAGAGACTGTATGCTCTTCACAGCTGGTTCCGTCCAGCTCTCCAGAGTCGGAATGCTCTTCACCGCTGGTTCCGTCCAGCTCTCCAGAGACTGTATGCTCTTCACAGCTGGTTCCGTCCAGCCCTCCAGAGACTGTATGCTCTTCACAGCTGGTTCCGTCCAGCCCTCCAGAGACTGTATGCTCTTCACTGCTGGTTCCGTCCAGCCCTCCAGAGACTGTATGCTCTTCACTGCTGGTTCCGTCCAGCCCTCCAGAGACTGTATGCTCTTCACTGCTGGTTCCGTCCAGCCCTCCAGAGACTGAATGCTCTTCACTGCTGGTTCCGTCCAGCCCTCCAGAGACTGTATGCTCTTCACTGCTGGTTCCGTCCAGCCCTCCAGAGACTGTATGCTCTTCACTGCTGGTTCCGTCCAGCCCTCCAGAGACTGAATGCTCTTCACTGCTGGTTCCGTCCAGCCCTCCAGAGACTGTATGCTCTTCACTGCTGGTTCCGTCCAGCTCTCCTAAGACCGTCCAGCCAGCGCCAGAGACCGTCCAGCCTGCGCCAGAGACCGTCCAGCCTGCGCCAGAGACCGTCCAGACAGCGCCAGAGACCGTCCAGCCAGCGCCAGGGACCGTCCAGCCAGCGCCAGTGACCGTCCAGCCAGCGCCAGAGACCGTCCAGCCAGCGCCAGAGACCGTCCAGCCAGCGCCAGAGACCGTCCAGCCAGCGCCAGGGACCGTCCAGCCAGCGCCAGGGACCGTCCAGCCAGCGCCAGTGACCGTCCAGCCAGCGCCGGAGACCGTCCAGCCAGCGCCGGAGACCGTCCAGCCAGCGCCGGAGACCGTCCAGCCAGCGCCAGAGACCGTCCAGCCAGCGCCAGAGACCGTCCAGCCAGCGCCAGAGACCGGGATCCCACCCAGCCTCCCTCTCCCGCCTCCTCTCATCTGTCCTCCCTCTGCTCTCCTGCCCTTCAGCTCCCCGAAACCAGCCTGGTCTGTGTATCCCCGGTCTTCGCCTCACACCTCCTCCTCTGAGACACTTCCTCGGCCCCCGGTCCCATCGGCTCCCCCGTGGCTGCTACCTCCCTCAGCTCCTCCATGGTCCCACAGTCCACCAGCTCGGCCAGGCTCCCTCGTCCCTCCGAACTCCCTGCACTCCCTCGTCATCCTCCCCTCACCTATGGACTTCCTTACTTTGGCTCCGCCCCGTTTTGTCACCCCTTCGGTTCTGTTGGACTCCTCACTCCCTCCAGTCACCCGTCAGCCCTCACGCACTCTGACCTCACCGTGTCCCTCTGTGCCCCTGTCAGCACTTCTGTCACCAGAGCCTGCGGTGTTCCCTTGCTCCCTCGGTCCCTCCTCAGCACCCATCGTCGTCGGTCCCTCAGCTACACCCTGGTCTCCTCTCCCATCCGCTCCGCCCCTGTCAGTCGGCCCCCTGGTGTTGTCAGCCCCACTACCATCGGCTCCACCAGGGGTCCTCCCTCCAGCTGCTCCGCCCTGGTCTCGCCCTCAGCCTGCTCCGCCCTGGTCTCGCCCTCAGCCTGCTCCGCCCTGGTCTCACCCTCAGCCTGCTCCGCCCTGGTCTCGCCCTCAGCCTGCTCCGCCCTGGCCACGCCCTCAGCCTGCTTTGCCCTGGGGACGCCCTCAGCCTGCTCCGCCCTGGCCACGCCCTCAGCCTGCTCCGCCCTGGTCTCGCCCTCAGCCTGCTCCACCCTGGCCACGCCCTCAGCCTGCTCCGCCCTGGCCACGCCCTCAGCCTGCTCCGCCCTGGCCACGCCCCGCCCAGCCCCCAGTTCGTCCCCCCTCCTTCCTCTGTTATGCGGCGTGAGGTCACGCCTCCCGGGAGGGGGGAGTTCTGTCACAGTCTTCGTCTGCACCATCCTGTCTGCGTCTCCAGCACTACACTTCCCAGGATCCTCTTGTCTCCACACCTGAACTCACTCCCTCATCAGCCTCCCGTTCAGCGTACTGTATTCATCTGTTTCACCTGTTTTCACCTCGTTTAGTTTGATTCCTGTGTGTATTTAGTTCCTTCCCATTCAGTCTGTCCTTGTCGGTCGATGTTAATGTTACCCTGTGTTCCGCCTGCCTGTTTCCTGTTTATTTGAGATTAAACCTTTTGTATTGGAGCTTTTCTGGACTCTGCCTGTTCGTCCTTCTGCCTGAACCCGCACCCGTGACAGTATATGCCTGATGAAGGTAGTGAAACGCTGCTAATCAAATTGTGATACTCATTTGCAAGTACAGAGAATGTGTGGGAGTTGCTTGTTTTTTGTGTATTATGTTAATATGATTCTATTTAAGGTTACCATGGAAGTCAATAACTGTATCCTTTGAAAGCTGATATTCGCACTATTATTTTTTTCTGAAGCATAGTTGCCTTGTTGCATCATCACTCCACCCTATTTTCTCGATCATTCAAATGAAGGGGAAACAACCACCAATTGTTCAAGTGAAGACGTTGTAGTGAGGTTTGATAACACACCAGCAGAAAGAACAGAGGAAAAGGACTAAAAATGGGTAAGAATCTACATCTACACAACATTCCTGTAGCTATGACTATGTTTATACACATAATATAGAAAGCTAATTTGTGTTTTATTGAGACAGATGCCCTTTGAAAAGTGGGTGATGTGGACAGTTTATGTTTCCTGCAATGCTTTTTCGAAATGAAATACATCTATTTTTTTTTTTTTTATTCCTCCGCCCCTTTGGTTGAGTTGATTATCTTGACTTCTTTGAATTGTTGATTTGGTCAAGATTATGTATATTGCGTTGAGTGAGTTAAATGTTTAGTCTCCAATCTAACAGAAGTCAAAAATAGACCTCATCATCCATCCCTGCTGTTGTTTATCAGTCTAAACCACTATTATAAGATAAAGTAAGAAAAAAACATATTGCATCTCTAGTATTTTTGAGACTTTAGTCACATGTGCAATGCATGCCGTGTAAGTCATTAGTGGTTAAAAAGCTGTGGTCAAACAGGATGCGTCATTTGCAACTGTATTTATCGCTTAATGCAAAATGTATTTGCTTAAATGCAAAGCATTAATGAGACCAGAACAGCAGGAAAAGTATATAACTGAGTTGCAGCATTGTCCTTGCAATGTTCAATTGTGTGGTCTTATGTTGCATGTGAATTCAGAAACAAATTTAGCTGACACAGTCTTTTAACCTACCGGCCACAATTTAAGCTGTAGACAGCAAAAATACTTTGTTGGGTTGTAAATACTCTTGCTTATTCTTATAGTTTAAGAAAAAGCATATTTGTTTTAGTTAAAATACTCAGAAAAATATATACACACCATGCATTTTATGCATAATATAGAGAATACAGGACGCAATGCCCCCTGGTGGCATCATTGTAAGACTGAGCAACTCCTTTTATCATAACCTCTGAATTTGCAAACATTTATTCCCCATAATTCTGACAGATAATTCATTAAATAAAATGTAGCCAAATCTTGAGCGTGATTAACAATGGACGGGTAACTATTTTCTAATTTGGACAACAATAATAAGATTCATACTTAAAATCAGAGCTGTAATAACAATCCCAAAATTATTTTAAAGACACACATCAGCTGTATGCGCAACTAAAAATCATTCATTTCCAACTCCAGTGAGCTGTAGACCACTGCAACCGGATTGCTGAATCAGTTGGATGTCTGGATGAATCCTTCTAATTCAGTTTTCAACCAATTCAAAATCCAAAGGAATAATGTTATGACTTTCTTTTAAAGTTTCCTTTCTCTTTTTGTGTGCAGAGAATGTGACCTTTTGTGCAGCGAATATGACCAATGGAACCAACATTGAAGCCTTATCAAGCATGGAAATCTTCAATATATTCATGTATTTTGTCGTTTTCGCACTGGGTATCGTTGGAAACGGGCTTGTCATATATGTGACCGGCATAAAAATGAAGACGACCGTCAACTCCATTTGGTTTCTCAACTTGGCGATTGCAGACTTCATCTTCATCTTAATCATCATCCTCTACATTGTTTCTGCCTTTAACAAGATGTGTTGGCACTTGGGTGACTTCTTGTGCAAGTTTGTCAGCTTCGTGACAGTGCTAAACATGTTTGCCAGTATTTTTTTGCTGACCGCTATCAGCCTGGACCGATGTCTGTCCACCTGGGTGATTGTTTGGGCTCAAAACAAACGAACTCTGGTCAAAGGCAGGATCATCTGTGCACTTGTGTGGGTTTTATCCATCCTCTGCAGCATCCCCTTTGTCATCAACCGCTTAGTAAAGGATAACCGATGCCAATACAATACAACCCCCCAAAGTACCTTCAAGTATCTGGTCATATACAGGTTTATGGTGGGTTTTCTCATCCCCTTCCTGATCATTGCATCTTCATACATTTCTATTGGAGTGCGGGCCAAACGTCTCAAAAGAGGAAAGAAGCTAAAGCCTTTCCGGGTCATCATGGCTGTGATCATGGCCTTTTTCATATGCTGGTTTCCATTTCATCTTCAACAGCTGTCCACCATAATTGCAAAGGAGAAAGGTTGGAGTGAAATTTTTCTAAAAAAGATAGGACCTCTTGTAAACTGCCTGGTTCATGTCAACAGCTGTCTGAACCCCATTCTCTATGTGTTCATGTGTGATGAGTTTAAGAAGAAGCTTAAACAGTCTCTGCTGCTGGTGCTGGAGACGGCGTTTGCTGAAGAACATCTGCCGTTCCTATCACCTCGTCCTTCCACTTGCTCAGGCCTCTCAGAATCACAGGGTCTCAAGATGAACGACCCAAACGTCTCGTCAACTGGTAGCAGCTAGGACAACAAAACATGCTTATAGAAAATCAGTCCTATTTTCCCTTTGCTGTCTTGAAATCCTCCATCCCATGCCATGCCAGCAGTGGTTCAAAGACTTATTTGTTCTTAAGACAATCAAAAGGTGTAATTCATGCACCATGAAAGTGACATTTCAGGCAGGTTTCACCAACACGCTAGCCTGGTAATACCAAACTCTACTACTTCGCTTTGCTTCTTAGGCCCCATTTACACTGCATGGTTTAAGTGACCCAAATCCGATTTTTTCCTCTCATGTGGCACAGATCAGATATGACCGGTGAACGTGTAAGCAGGGAAAAAAACACATGGATTCTGATTTTCTCAGATCGGATTCATACCTCACTCATATGTGGTAATAAATCAAACACATTCTCATCCCAAGAAGTCATCTAACTGACACTTTTGACCATATGTCAACATCCGACGTTTTAGGGCACCCTTTAACGTCAGTTAGATGACGCTATCCTAGGGCGTCATCTAACTGACGCTTTACCTTTAGCGTCAGTCAGATGACGCGGGTAGGTTTAGGTCTGGGGTAGGGTTAGGGTTAGATAGCGTCATCTAACTGACGTTAAAAAGTGCCCTAAAACGTCGGATGTTGACGTATGGTCAGTAAGATGACGTCTTGGGATGAGAACGGGCTGATAAATTGGATATGAATTGGATACGTGCATTTGTGCCATGTAAGCAGTCTGTGTTTGAAGACATTGCAGGAGATATGATTTTCTCCGCCGTACGAGACCAATGTTTTGCTGACTTTTTTGCTGATTTCTCAAAATATTGTGGAAAGCAAAACTGCATCTATTGCATTTCGTGCTGTTTTACTTCCTTTTCCAGGTCAGAACTTCTACATTTGGTAGTTTCAGCAGTGTATAGTGTAAATGCAAAAATCGAATACGGATCACTTTTAAAAGATGTTGTAAGAGTGTCGTCAAAAAAATCGTATATCGGGATCAAGACCAGCAGTGTAAATGCAGTCTTAGACAGAGTCTGGAATGGCCAACGCATTCTCATCCCAAGACGTCATAAACGACACTTTTGCAAAGCGTAGACATCCAACGCACATGCCACCCTTTAGCGTCAAATGAGACGCTTTGGTTATGGTTGGGTTGGTATGGGGTAGGGTTAGACCACTAAGAGGCGCCTTCTGTCCCGTATATATCGATGTCTCGCTAAAGGGTGCTATGTGCGTTGGATGTCTACGCTTTGGCAAAATGTATATCGTATATGAACGGGCTCGAATGGCATAACTGAAAAGTGTTTCCTTTCTCATTGGGGTTCTTGTTCGGGCTTCAGTTTGTAAATGCTGGGAATATTATTCACAACAGAGCGAATTGCATCCTGTATATCCATATCCATGGTCGTTTTCTATTTCCCTAACATAAATACAATTTTAAACTCAGCACTTGGCGTCATGACTCTCAGCCCGCCCTCTGTTCGCTGATTGGCCGGCTGTTTTCAAGCCGAAGGAAAACTGAGAGATAGGTCGCTATCTCAGACTGTGTACAGAAGCAAACTGAAATTGAGCGGAAGTACGAAGTCTGACGTATTCAGGCTACCAACATGCCCCTTGTTTTCCATTGGTTGGACTAACAGATCTACCCCAAACTCATGCCATTGGTTGAGTCAGTGTTGTTGCGTCTATACAGGTTGGGCTGATAAAAAGGTTTTGTATTTTTTATGCATTTTATGGGAAACCTACAGATGTTTAATTGTATACTCATGGCTTTGGAGACATATTTCAACGTAGAATTTTTTTTTTTTTTTTTTACATTTTTAATTTATTTCTTTTCCATTTACTTTTTTAAGCCACGTTGTAAGCTACTGTTTATTTAGGACTATTATATGTTTATACAGTACTATGTTTATATATGTTAGGCCTACTACTATTTTTTCGCTGAGGTTAGTGTTGACCTTTATGTCCAATTCTTCTGAAATCCAAGAATGGCAGCACAGTTGAAAGGTTTGTTTGAGCTGTGCCATCTACTGCATGAATTTGCATTCCCTTTTGCATTTGCACTTTTACATTTGAAAAAAAAAAAAAATTATAAAGACAAACAAGAAAGCCCAGCTCACGTGAGAAAAGGTAATGCAAAAGTAGCACATTACTTTTCATAAAAAGAAATGCAGTTCTTTACTTTTTTTAGAGTTACACAATATTGCGATGCATTAATTTAGGCTACAGTTAATTTAGTACTATTATATGTGTATTACTATGTTTATTTATTCACCAAAACTGAAGGAATTCTTTGTGAAACATGCTGTCTGTAGTCTTCCTCTTTATTGTATGTAAATAAAAAGAACATTCTTATGCTGTCTAACCTTTATTATTAGACATTTAACAAAGTCACAGTGTTAAACTTTACCAAGCTTTTACTATGACAAATAATACGTTTTGGGTGTAATGCACGTCAAAAAAGTAGGCCCAATCAGAAAAGTAATCAGGTAACTAGTAAAGTAAGCATTACTTTTAAATTTACAACTGGTCATTTTCAAATAAGCAATGCAAGTTTGTTTTCCTCATGTATTGACTGACAGCTTTCCTCTACTCATGTTGATATTGTTGATTTATGTTATTATGAAAAAATGTGTTAACTAACATATACTTTATGTATTTAAACTCACTTTGTTGCAATAACTTTGCTGTTGACCTTGATTCAATTACACCAGACAAGTTAAATGTATTTGTGCGTGATTACGTCGTGAAGCGAATGAAGCCCGAAACGTCAAGACGGGTGACGTCATAGACCAGGAAACTATAAAGCACCCCTGAAGTCAGACCGCGCCAGCTTCTGTTCTGTTCAGATAGCGATCTCTGTGAAATCTGTCCTTGTCTATTTATTGTTGTTTGTCAAAGCCCAATATATATCACTATCTATCTTTATGGCTAGCAAGCAAGTTTATAGACGTTGTCTTGTTCCCTGCCCTCGTTACTTCACGGGTGGTGGCACACATCAGCTATTATGTTGCTGTTTGGGAGTGGAACATGCCGTCAGTCAGTTCTCGAGGGAGCTGCGAGAAGCTGTCCGCTAAGACGCTGATCCGCTCCCGCCGGGCGTTCTTTGAGGAGGACGGTTCGGTTCGCGTTCCCCGCGCTGGTCTCTCTGTTGCCGAGGCGCGGAGAAGACTGGCATTTCGGGGTTCGCAAACGGTTCTGACCGCGGGGGTGAGATGGGTTCTGCCCTTTCTCAGCTTTCACATGCCAGATTCCAGTTCTGAGGATTGGTATCGTTAGTGTTGTGTTTAAAAAGAAAAGTGTACAAAACAAATAAAAATATTAAGAGAAGGGCAGATGTTTGAGTTTTCAATGAAATAAATAAGTCAGCTCATATCTCGGCTGAATGGAGGAGCTTTTTTAAAATTAGGTTTTATCTGTGCTGTTGCCAGTTAAATATTTACTGGCCAGCTGAACATAATGAGATTAGAAATAAAGAAGAGTTTTTTTTAGATGAAATGTATCTTAAAACAGAAAAAAACTCTTTATCTCAGCCTCCTCGTGCGTTTTTTCCTTATGAGGAAACACTGACACATTGAGGTGTTGAGATTGTGGAATAAACCGGTTTGTATTTTATGTGTTTAATCCCCAGATGTCTAACTAGCCTAGTAATGTTTGGGTATTAAGTAGGCTATAGTATGATAGTGCCTCGGGTTAAAGAGACGCTTGCGAGCTTTCTCTCTCCCGAGTCGGTGTCATCGTTATTTACCCCGACGTTACACACTAGCCATCATAAATAATGAATACATTTTTATTAGGCCGCTCTGGTGGGTAAAGTAGCTTATATAAGGACAAAGATTAATGTGAGGGGCGACTCTCTGAGGAGGGTCGCAACGCTGCCAGTTCGGTTGTTTCCCCCTGGTGGCCACAGAACTATATAGATGTGTATATATTTATATGTTTTTTTTCTGATATAAAAATAAAGGGAAAATAAAGATATAAATATGTCTGTTCTTCTGGACGCTCCGCTTTCAAGAAGACTAAGAAATAAGCCATTCAGCGGCGTTCCAGAGGTTTCTTCCTCATAAAAAAAACATCCTCTTATTACTCGTTTTCTCCGTGGTATGCTGAGGTTTAGACCTGCACTGGTTGGGGCCCTATAGTGCTGCAGTCATTTTATCCTCCACCTTTTAAAACCCCAGATCAGGAATGACTGAACCTGTTATGTCCAGTTCGGGCATTAGATGCCTACGTTCACAGAGCTGCCCTGTGGCGCAAGTCTGAACAATTATTTGTCTACTTTGGGTCACTCAAGAGAGGGTACCCTGCATCTAAACAGGTTATGAGCAAATGGATAATCGAGGCTATATCATTGGCTTATGAAGTGGCTGGACAGCCTTCACCTATGGCTGTTCGGACCCATTCTACTAGGAGTATGGCGGCCTCTAACGGCCTTAATTTCATGCGTTTCCCTTCTTGACATTTGTATATCAGCAGGATGGTCCTCCCTGCATACATTTGTTAGATTTTACGAACGAGAGCTGCGTTCGCCTGCCATACTTCCTGCCTGCCCTGTTCGACTTGTTTCAGAAGCTGGCGCGGTCTGACTTCAGGGGTGCTTTACGTTTCGGGCTTCCATTGGACTGATTTTACATGTGCTTCACGACGTAATCAAGCAGAGCGTTCCCACCGCGTTCTAACGCAGCTCTCGTTCCCTCTCAGGGAACCAGAGTTGCATACGTAACCTGAGACATTTCTTTCTATTGTTTTTCTTTTTCTTTTAATTTTTTTTTTTTTTTTTTTAAGTTGATCTTTATGTCCTATTCTTCTGAAATCCAAGAATGGCAGCATAGTTAAAAGGTTTGTTTGAGCTGTGCAATTACTTATTTTTGAGTTACACAATATTGTGATGCGTTACTTTAAAACGCAACCCCAACACTGCCTGCAAATAATTATATTCTGAAGGGGAGCTCAAACACTGACTATATTATATGGGCTAATAATTTTAATTATTAATAAGAATAAATGAAATACAGAAGCATAAATCCATCCATCTATCCATCATACATGATCAGAACCATTTATTTTCAGACTTGCACAGTGAGCGGAGAGACCTGGGTTCCTTGTGCGAGAGCAGTGTTTACCAACCCGACTATAAATCACCAACTCTGACGTGTGTTTGTGACGTAAAATAAACAACGCATTGAGAAATACAATGCATTACTGAAATACAATTCCTCTTATGGCGAATGCTATTAAAGCAAGTGCTTAATTTCTTGCTAATGAGCCATGACAGAGTTACCTTGGACAGATTTCAAGAAAGCATTACGCAAGTGATTATGAAATCGCAATTTCTGAGTTTCCATGTGAAAATGATAAGCAAAAAGGCCATCCCCTTCTCTCTTACCCTTACAATTTAATTGTGATGATGAAACATGCACTGACCGCTTTCCAATCAATTATTTACCGAGACAAAAGGTACGATTATTGACCTTTTACCTTAAGTTTAAATGTTAAGCATGTTCAACAGTTTCTGCATTAATTCATTTACACTTTGTATTTTAGTTTTTGTTAAAAAGTTTCTTAGATTTCTATCATTTTCTTCCTTGATGCTTTCCAAATGAATTAAGTGGAATATTATTTGTTTCTTTAATCCTATGTATTTTGAAATGTATTTAAAATCAAGCTCAAATGTTGATAATGCTCAGTTATAGATAGAGTTTGGTTAATATGTTTTGTGTATTTTTTTCAGCATCTTCCACAAATATATAGGCATAATGAGTAAGTACAGCTGTGGTTCTTACTAAAAATGATATAGCAGTTTCAAAGAACAAAGTATGCAATATCCTTTTGCACTTCTCCACATTTCTAACGAAATATGTAGAAATGTAATGAGCGCATGTCCTATTTGTGTGTTTCTAGATATTTTCTAAATTGTATTTATTTATTTTTACTTCAGATCAAACTGTAGCCCCATCCAACATGACAACATCAACCAGCAATGCAGATGTTGTGAATTCCTTAAGGAAATTCAATATTGTCCTCCACTGTGTAATATTTGTGCTTGGTGTTGTTGGCAATGGACTGGTCATCTTTATCACAGGCCTCAAAATGAAAAGCACTGTCAATACCATCTGGTTTCTGAACCTGGCGGTAGCAGATTTCCTATTTACATTATTCCTGATCTTTAATATAATTTCTGAATACCGTGAGTACGACTGGCCTTTTTTGGTAACTTTATGTGCTTCTTGGGCAGCCTGGTGACTAGGGTTGGGTATCATTTGAATTTGAACTATTCTGATTCCGATTCCTTGTTTCGATTCCGGTTCCTAACGATTCTCAATTCCGATTCTTTTAAGAGGCAGGGTCAAAAAAGTTTAGCTAACCTTGCTAACCAACGGTCTTTCTGAAGGAAATAATCCTTTCTGAAGGAAATACTCCTTCTATAAAAATACTCCTTTTGTCACAAATTTAGCATTTTGCCGAGATTTCGTTATTTTTAGAAAAGTGAAGCCACACTCTGGACCGCCGACGTAAGCTACTCATGTTCGACTCGCGCAGTTATGCTAACACTTCCGGTAGACGCTTCTTCGTTGGTGTTGTTCAGCGGTTTCTTCTTCCGCTCGGCGGACTGTGAATATCGAAACTAGGAATCGAAATTTTAACTTTTGAACGATTCCGGGAAAAACGAAAAGTTAGTCCCGATTCCAATCGATACTCGATTCTCGATACCCAACCCTACTGGTGACCATGTTGAATATATTTGCCAGCACCTTCCTGCTGTCAGCAATCAGTCTGGACCGCTGCCTGTCCACCTGGGTGGTGGTGTGGTCCCGGACCAAACGAACTGTCCTGAAAGCGAGGATAACTTGCTTGCTTATTTGGTTAGTGTCAGTCGCTTGCAGTCTGCCTTTAGTCATCTCTCGGAAAACAGATTCCCGTTCTGCACAAAAAACGCTGTGCATTCTTGACATTAACGAACTCCAAACATACAAGAGGATGTCAGAGTTCCATTTGGTGGTGGGTTTCCTCCTCCCGATTGTCATAATCTCTGCTTCGTATGTAGCGATCGGAGTAGTTAAGCGTCTCCAGAAAAACAATAAGATAAAACCCTACCGTATTATCCTGGCAGTAATCCTGGCCTTCTTCTTCTGCCGGCTTCCCTATTATGTTCACAAATCCATTGAGGTGTGGTGGCATGAAATGAATGTGACAAACCCATCGGACGAGCTGACCAGCTTCAAGGATGTTTACGACTAGATTGCGCTCTTCATAATCAGTATTGCCTACTTGAACAGCTGTCTGAATCCCTTCTTACAGAAAAAGCTCAAGCAGTCTTTAGTGATGGTGTTTGAGAGTGCATTCGCAGAGGAACAACTGTCTGTCCTCTCAAAACATTCCCAATCCAAACGCATATCTCATTCTCAGGGTGGAACAGGAATGGAAATGACCCAATGTTAAACACTTGAAGTTTAAATGAAACATAGAATCAATATGCTAATATAACTTAAAGAAGAAATGTAAACAAAATAATTTTCTGTGATTTTTGTTTCTTTTTTTTTCTTTCTTTTTTTGAGGATGGATGATGGAAGCTGATGTGTAAACCAAAAATATAGATTTATTGTGTCATAAATGTAAATAACTGGAATGCATACCTTACTAAAGAGTGTTCACCCAAAAATGAAAAAAAATATCCTATGATTTACCCTCAACCTCAAGCAATCCGGTGCAAATATATATTAAAAAATATCCTGCCTCTTCCTACCTTTGTAATAACACATAATAGTGCCCAAGTTTTTTTTTTTTTTTTTTTGTCCAAAAAGTGCATTGATCGATCATAAAAGTAATCCATTAATTAAATCCAAATAAAAGTAACAGCCATCCAGCGGTATGTTATTCCCAGATAACAACCACTCAAAACAGATAATGGAGGCACATCCAGTTCACTGAAGTCATCAGCGTTAGAAACGGTTTTAAAAGTATTAAAACTCAGTCAAATCAATGTTTTGTGTTCAGTGAATTAATTATGCCATCCACATCGTTTAAAGCAGTTACCCTGCATTTAAAGGGTAACTAAACCCTAAAAAAAACTTTTTTTTTGGTTAATTATTTGCAAGACAGGGGCTTTATTAATGCTGTTCATTGATGCAAATATTTTTTTTTTTTGAGATTTGGGAATAAGGGATTTTAATTTTACAATATATGGTGTTAAAACAGTTGAATTTTCCTATTGGATGTTGTGGTACTGCGAGACGTAAGCATGTACTAGCTCAACACGCCCTTCCCTACAGAGAGAAGCGGGTCTTATTATTTTGAGAGAACCACCGCACATTATCCCTTACGTATGACGTAGGCGTAGCATAAGCTTAGGCTTAAAGGGGGGTTGACTGCTTTTTTTCTTTGCATGATTGTGTTCATGGGGTGCAATATAACATGTATTCATGGTTTTTCATTTTTAAAAAGTCTTATTTTTCATAAACTTCACGTTTATTGTCAGCCGCGCTCTCCTCTGTCCCCTGAACGAGCGGTTCACTTCCTGAGTCTATGAAACCACTCCCTCAGAAACACATAGTGGGCTGAGATTGGTTACCTTGCCCCGGTGTGTTGTGATTGGCTAAACTGTCGCTTACGTTGTCCGGAAAGTTAACGCCCATTACCTTTACGGGCGAAACGGGCACGTCATGAGCTCCGGTCTAGATTGGCAACAATAGCAACTGACTGGCTACTAATGTTATACTCAAACAGCGTTGGCAAGTTTACGTTCTTGATCAAATCAAAGTACTTATACAAAATGATGATAGTTTCTCAAATACTTAATTAAAAAAATACTTAAAAAATACTTATTTTTTTGTTAAATTGTCACAAAGTGACTTTCAGAGTGGATCTAGAGTCTGGAGAGGAAGTTCATGCATTTCTGTCTTCCTAGGCAAAAAACAATGCAAGCGATGCAAACAATGGTGGGGGAAACACTGTTTGTTTCAGAATGTGTTTGGCTAAGACTTGACTTGACGAGGACTGCAGCTACCAACACCTTGTGTTTCTCAATAAAGAATCTTGCTGAAGTTACAACCAAGTCTCCTGGTCACTTCTGAGTTGCTACACTGTAGAAGAAAAAGGGCCGAACTGCATGCAAGCACTGTTGATTGATAGGGCATGCAAATCAGCCACTCGTTTTCCACATGCTAGCATGAGCAGCAGCGCCGTCTTAAATGAGAGCACTTTTAAGTTGCTAGATTCGGCTGGTTCAAATGGTGGGTTGAACAGCGCACTGAGCGCTAATGATAGGTCCCATACTGTGTCTTATGAAGGCAGGGAGGATTCAGTCACCTTGCCCCCCAATTAAAGCTCATTATTAGGGGGTGTTTACCCACTAAACGGCCATCCAGCATGTCATGAGAGGCGGCGATAGCGGCCAAGTAAAAATTTGAATGAAGAGGGAGAGCTGCCAGCATCTATAAGTTCCTGCAGGAAGGTCAAAACAGTGACCCTTTGGGGTTTTCATGTCTGCTATTACACCAGTTAACAAACACTCTCCATTTCAATATTGCCTCCAGTATTGTTTGTAACACTCGCTGTGAAATGACCCACTGGTTCACTCCATACTGATCTGACACACGCAGGTCCCACAGTTCCAAGCTGGAGTGCCATATGGCAGTGTTGTGCACTCGAGACTCGGACTCGATCTCGAACATATTGGGAGTCGGGACTCAGACTTATTCCCGAGTCCACTCGAGTCCCATTCAAAACATGTCATGATTATTACTGTATTGTTAATATTTCTTTAAATTGTTGTTTGATTGAAACGTCCAATGATTGCTGACTTTCTTGTGCACAACTGCGCATGACTTGAGACTATAATGTTCGCGGCACGCAAATGCAGCCTGCAGGACCCAAGTCGGATGTGGTGTGGAGCCTCTAGCTCAACTATGTATTGAAAATGTCTGCCTTATCATCCATAATTCAGTTTGCATATTAGAGCCACACAGAATTCGTGTACAGTAATGTTCTGTGAAAGAGCACTTACTGATTGTAGCAATTGTAAGTAATAATCATAATAAAATTCCCTACACCACTATGTGGCCTTTTTACAGTGTACATGATGCCATGGTATATTTGGTTTACTGTTTGAGTATGGTGCCAATTTTATTGTTACCACCAAATATTTTACATGTTCTTGAAGATATCTTTAAGTCTGGTTTGAGACCCAACCTTAGGTTATCCAACCTCTCTGGTCTCAGTCTTGACTTGGACTCGACTTTGGTCTTTGTCTCGACTCGGACTCGACCCTCTATGGTCTCGGTCTCGACTCGGACTCGAGTGAGCTGGTCTCGACTACAACACTGCCATATGGTGCCCTTTGCCTGGGACAAAAGGTCCCCTCTGAAGGCCAAGGAAAGAACTGTTCATCCATCTCTTGGACGGCTGTTCGGGAGTCGCCTAGTCCTACTCCAAATCTGCCACTGCCTCCATGAGGATGGACATTTCATACAGCCAGGTCGGGGTGCAGCTAGTTTCTAAAGGGACCTCAGACCAAGCACTCGGGTCAGAGACACTCGTGAACATGGCTTCATCCTCTGCACAGCAGTCCAAGACCAGTTCCCGACTTCTTTCGGAGGGCGGGAACAATACTCAACATAGGTGAGAGGGGGCTCTGGTGCCAACCCCACCGGCCGGCGCCAACCCCACGGTAGAGCCCTCTGACGAAGCTACCTGCAGTGGCGGTGGGCGGAGGTGAGGCAGGAGTCAGTTGGTAGCCACTAGGGACAACGGCCAGGCTTGCACGAAGGGTCTTGATTGGTAATTCCTTGCAGACTCGACAATCTGATCCTTTTAGTGCCGCCTCAGTGTGGGCGCGGTCCAGACACAGTACACACTGCTCGTGTGTGAGAAATCGATCGGCCCACCACACATGTGCCAAAGAGACATTATTTAAATTATAATCCACTGGAACGCAAGAGGGGATCACAATCCACTTTGTCCACTCTAGTCGCGTAGGTCAACGGTGAAACCAGGCTCCAGGTGAGCCATTGGCTATTTGCAAGCAAAAGAGTAATTCAATCAGGCTATAGGATTTTGAGGAAAAGTGTTTTTTTCCCATAGGTAATGTCGAGGAACTGACTCCATAAGGGAACTTGTGTACGTGTGGACAAGGCCTCGGTGTGGATGGATGATCAAAATTGTCTCCGGTCTCTCCATGTCATTTAACTGTGCCCTGTTGATCACTTATCTCAATTGTTCTAGGATACATACTCCCTGTGTCTATCAGTTCTTTGTCCGATCTCATCTGGGTGTAGCGTTTAGTGTATGGATTTGCCTTTGTCCTGTAATACCCTCCTTTGGATTTATTAAAGAATGTGTTTTGGAATTCTCCCTCGCTGTGTGACTTCCTTCATACATTTAGGTGACAGTAAGACTATGTTGTAGTCCAAGGAAAATTGAAGTGGAGAGCTTTATTTTGACCCGAAAATAGGAAGTTTGGGGAATTGGGTGAGAAGTTATGGATTTGTGTTAAGAGTTTTGAGAAAAGGAGGCATAATTTGTTAGGCAAAGGAGGCAAAATACGTTTGTAATTAGAAAAAAACTGTAATCAATGAAACATAATTTATGATTCATTTTACATTGGCAGTTATTTAAAACAGCTGACGGTATATACTTTTTTAGCAGTTCATGTATTTAATTGAACTCTAGTATCATGCTGTCTGTGTTTGAGTTTCAGGAACATTCTGTGGCAGGAAATGTTTTGCTGTGCATGCCCACTTCACACTGTAATGATACAAATAGCTGTAATGATTAAGTCTGCTGATATGGTATAAAGCCAACAATCTGTCAGCAAGACTCAGAAGATATACCAAGATCAAGACTCGGCTTGTCGCAGCGCAAAAATGGGTAAGAACTGAATATGTGTATTCATATGACATGTTTTGTTTTTAAAACACCTCTCAGTAAATGCAAAACTTTAACATAGTCAATACAAACATATAGAGTGCCTGATAAAACCAATCAGATCATAAATAACATGTCATATAATTAATAGTATATAATGTTAAAATAATATATATTATTTAGTCTGTATAATATAAGAGTGAATAAGAGTGTTAAAGCAGAATAAGAAGGTATTAATTATAATTTTGGTGCCAGCGCCAGCAGCATTTGTACAATGTCTTCACTGCTGGGAGGACATCATTTTAATGTTAGAATGAATTGCATTTGGTTTTCTTTCTTAAATCTGTTTGCATTCGGAATTTTGACTACTAACTTTCTAACAACCTTTAGATTGCTAAAACATTACGTTTTTTTTTTTTTCCAAATAGCTTAAAAATAACACTAAAAGTGGAACTTGAGGCTCACTCACTCCTGTAACCAAATGTTCAGGTCAAACTTGCACAACGTACTTGGTAACCTCGGTTTTCTCTAGAAGAGGGAACGAGTACTGTGTAATGTCTTACGCAATTGGGGAAAACCTCTTTTCCAGGAGATATTGAAGCCAAAAATTATCCTTAATTTGGAATTAATGTAAAACGCGCTGTGGTAGCATGCAGACATAGACAAGGGGGCTGTAGTCAAGACCAGCTCACTCGAGTCCGAGTCGAGACCGAGACCAAAGAGAGTCGAGTCCGAGTCAAGACCAGAGAGGTTGGATAACCTAAGGTTGATTGGGTCTGAAACCAGACATGAAGATATCTTCAATAATATGTAAAATAGTTGGTAACAATAAAATTGGCACCATGCTCAAACAGTAAACCAAACATACCATGGAATCATGAACACTGTAATGGTAAAAAGGCCACATAGTGGTGTAAAGGTAATTTTATTACAATCATGACTTACAGTTATTACAGTCAGTAAGTTGGCCTGGGTCCTGCGAGCCACAAACATTATAGCCAGCCAAAGCCATCAAGTCATGCGCTGTTGTGCACAAGGAAGTCAGCAATCATTGGACTTTTCAATCAAATAACAATTTAAAGAAATATTAACATACAGTAATAATCATGGCATATTTTGAATGGGACTTGAGTGGACTCGGGAATAAGTCTGAGTCCCAATATGTTCGAGTACGAGTCAATTCCGAGTCAAAATGCACAGTCCATTACAAGACAGAGACCAGTTAATTACCATTACAATATCCATATTACCATTCTTTTCCCAAAATACTGGGCAAACCTACCGGTATTTAGTAAAGTCACTGTCACTTACCACAGACAATGATGAGCAGCTTCGAAGTCCATTGGTAACTTTTGGTAACTGTTGGTTGGTTGTTCCAAATTAATAAGATCATAATGTGTGTGTGCGTGTGTGTGTGTGTGTGTGTGTGCATGTGCGTGTGTGCCATGTGCCAAGTGTGCCATGATTCTAATATCCAGCATGTTTTTTTAAAGAATTTTCAGAGTAGTCTAAAATTCTATTGAAGTTCTGAGCCTGTTGATCGCCAACTAGTAGTGAAATCATCACAGATCCATTGATTTTGGTTGGATTTTTATCTTTTTTTTTTCTGTGGAATATAGTGTTTGGTGAAAAGAATGGCATATTGACTGTCACAACTTAGTTGGGAATAGTTGGGAATAGTTGATTGCAAATGAAGTAAAGATGAAAATATTGGAAAAAAGTGAGAAAACGCCTATTTATTATTATTTTTGTTGTTGTTTTTTTGTTTTGTTTTTTGATTAAAATTATGCAAAATTATGTAGAGTTATTTTTTCAGTGGATGTTGTCAGTACATGTATTCTGTGTATCTGGAATACATTTTTTTTGACAGACTAGCCAACCCATAAGGATTTGAGGACAAATCTTAATTTTTCACATTTATTCTGATAAAAAATAAAGGGTGCATATAAATGGCCACAAAAGAGCTTTTGTGACTTTGGCTCCCTGACTAAATGCATGCAGCAGACTGAAGAAAATAGCATTGAGAGCCTCAAGTTCAATGTTTAGTGTGCAAGCAATTTGAAGAAATAAAAAATAAATAAAGTATAGTAACTGCTAATAAGTGATTTTGTTATATTCTTTAATGTAGTGTTTTCAAAACTCAGACAGAAACTCTTTTTGTGGACTCATTTCTTTGATTTACAATTCACTCATGAACAGTCACACATCACAAATAGAGTACACATCATCAAAATTTGTAATATTTCACAAATCTCCCTAAAATCTGAAACAGACCCAACAACAGCATTCACCTGTGTTTTCTCTCTCTTTTTTGTGTAGAAGCCACAAGTTTTGGACCAGAAAACGTTACCGGAGTCACAACAGAAGATTATACCACTATTTATCCTAAGGACTCAAGCTTTAAGATTTTTTATTTATGCGCTTACATTGTCACCTTTATAGTGGGTTTCATTGGAAACGGGCTTGTCATTTTTCTGGCTGGCTGCAGAATGAAGACGACAGTCAACTCTATTTGGTTTCTCAATTTGGCGATTGCAGACTTTATCTTCATATTATCCATAATCATTATAAAATATATTCGGTACTTTTCTTCGTACCAATTATTTAGGAACGTTCTCCGGATGATGATAAACCTAAATCTGCATGCTAGCAATTTTTTCCTTGTAGTTATCAGTCTGGACCGTTGCCTGTGCACGTGGATGGTTGTTTGGGCTCAAAATAATCGAACTCTCTTTAGAGCCAGGATCATCTGCTTGATCGTGTGGGTTTCATCCATCGGCTGCACCATCTTCATTGTAAATGTGAATCCTATGATTCAGATTGAATTTGATTTTTTAGTGGAGTTTCTCGCCCCCTTCCTGATCATTGCATCTGCACACATTGCTGTTGGAGTACGAATCAAACGCCTCAAAACGAGGAACCGGCTCAGATCGTACAGGGTCATTTTTGCTGTTGTCCTGACTTTTTTCATATGTTGGTTCCCATACCATGTTTGCCGTTTATGTTTAATAACTGCAGACAAGGATAAATTGAGTGAAGTATTTCGGAAAGCATGGCAATTCAGTGTCTATCTGGTTTTTCTAAACGGCTGTCTGAACCCCATTCTCTATGTGTTCATGTGTGATGATTATAAGAAGAAGCTTAAACAGTCTCTGCTGCTGGTGTTGGAGACGGCATTTGCTGAAGATCATCTGGACTTTAGAGGAAGGCAGATGCAAGAGGACGAGCAGAACAAGACGAACTCTTTTGAATTATTAGAAACGTACAAAAACTCTACATAGTCTCTAAATGATTGTGACTACCAAAACTATAAATCTCACCATTACAACCACTGTAGTCATTATGCTTTTAAAAAGCAATTTCAAAATTCATGTTTGTGGTATGACTGTATAATTTGTTAGTTAACCAACTGGGGAAAATCTTTCCTAAATATTAAAGGTATAGCGGAGGATCTTTCCGAATTTTAGAGAAGACCCGCCCTCTCTAATTTCTTTAAAAATGCACATGCGCAACACTCTACAATACATATTTTATATTTTACTGCACAGATATGCATCAAAGTAAATTGTTTGGAAGGGCATCAAAATTTGGGTAGTCATGTTTGGTGGCACAATTATGTTGCAAATTATAAACTAACTCAAAAACATTCATGCAAGACAAAATGTCAAATGCCCTTCCGTGTTTTATTTACTTATTACACTGATCGATTGAATGACCGAGGACTCAAGACATGAAATGCAATGGAGAAGTAGCTTGTTGAATTTGTGTAATACAGTTTTTCTCGATTGTTTACACACATTTTCTGGTACTTGAGACACAATGACCACAACATGTAACTCATTCACCAACCCCCTGAACCAATTCTACTGAACTACAAGCACAATTCCTGCTTTACACTCAAATTGCAGTTCTAAAACACACTTTTTTTAAAACACACACAATTCTCTGCATTTGCCACAATTTTCATTCAGAAAATCTCTTGTTTTCATGAGGAACACACTGCCATTCAAATATTCACACTGACTCGTCACATGGGCAAACACATTTCACACAGTTTTACAATTAGCGATCAGAGCTTTGGCATAAAATACCAAAACCAAAGAGAGGATGCAGCATAGATTTTTTTTATTTCTTTTTTTTACTGTAACAGCATAAAAAATTCTGTTGTTTTGTATATAGACCACTGTATGTGCAACTTTGTGTTGGTTGGGGTGTACAAAATGTGGGATCTATCTCCCATTGATTTTGTGGGAAAAATAAAATATATTTGTTACCGTGTATTTGTGTGTTCTGTGTATAAAAAACAATATTCTCAAATATTTTACAACACGGTTATGTATGTAATATCTGTAGTAAGTGTAACACTGAACAAAAAAGGCCAAAGTCATTATGATGAATGGAGAAGAAGTGTTTTCCATTGATCATAGTGTTTTACATTGAGCACATCAGTGTTCAACTGGTTCTTATAAATGTCTATTCATATGATGGTTTGTGTGTGTCATTTGAAAACAAAATACTATTTTGAGAAGAAATAACATTGTTTTGAATGTAAAGTTTCATTTTGCAGGATAATTGAGGGGGTTTGCCAATTGTGTGAGTGTTTTTAGATTTGTGTGTAGAGTTCTGAGAATATGAGGCATTCTTTCAGAAAATGTGTGTAAACCATCGAGAAAAACTGTAACTCCTTAATATACATGTTTTCACTACATTTGTTTTTAAATTAATATTAAGACATTATGAATGATATTAACTAAAGTTAATTTCATCTACACCCTAAATTAAGCTTAGTGATTTATTGTCAGCCCTAGTGCAACCAGATTTTTAAAATTTTATTATTATTATTATTACAGACAAAATCAGTGTAGTAAAAGAGTGGAAAATACTAACCACTGTCGTGCAGCTGAGATAATTTTTGGGCTTTGCACCATAGTATTGCCCTTTGTGGAAGGACTCTTCAGAACCATTGGAATTGGAGCTGTGAACAGGCCTTTCAGATCTTGAAGGATAAGATGAGAAGTGCTCCCGTGTTGGGATATGCTGATTTTTAAAAATGTTTTGTGCTTGAAATCGATGCCAGTAATCTGGGGTTGGGGGTAGTGCTGTCCCAGGACCAGGGGGGGGTGCATAGTCAATAGTCATCCAGTCGCTTATGCTAGCCGGGGGCTGCAACTCTTAAGCCCCTTTCAAATTGCCGGGAAATTACCAGAACGCCGTCTGTGTGAACGCAAACAGATACTCTGCCCTGTATGAAGTAATGAAGTGTCTGGATGAGGTATGGACCCTGTATAGAATTAGACCAAAAGTACAGTTAGGCCCAGAGAAGAACATACACTGCAGCGAGTTAAGACCCCTTCCATCGAAAGTGAATCCATCTGTTCAGCACAGCCTGATACCGCCATCGCAGGGAAAGGGTAGGAATGCTTCTCAGGAGTGGAAGTTGTATGTCACCAGGACGGTGACCTTTGAGAGGCAGGGTGGATGTAGCCAGTGGGCCTTCATTACCCAGAGTCATGCAGTATAAATGATGACATCCGTTGAGGTAGAATAGCGCATTGGAATCAGCTGTCAGGCAGGGGGAGTGGACAGGAGTGGAAACGCGGTAAGCTCGAATTGTTTGGTGTTGCTGGTGGACGTGGCTAGTTGTACATTTTATCACAGTATATGGTTTTTATTCGAAATTTGTATTTTTTTTATAGATTTTCAGAGAGTACATGTGGAATTAGTGCACGGGTGTGCAGTGAGTTTGGGAAGTGGCCCGAATCAGCTGCAACATACAAACATAACATCGGTTATATCACTGAACGTAACTGGCAACTGAACAGACGCATTACAAACCATTCTTGTGGATACTGTTTTCCCATCAGGATAAGCTTTGGGAGCTGCATCACAAATGCTGAACTGGTAGTATGTGCTTGGGTGGATCTCCTCGCAAAACCCGTGATCTCCCGGGGTTTGGCTTCAGTGACGGAGTCGCGCACATTAGAAGCCCTTTGGCCTCGAGGCCCGTTGATTGATTGTGGATTTTGTAGGATGTCGCAGTCGCTGTTTTCCCATACTGTGAATTATCATGTGTATTAGCTTTTGTAACATGTCCTGTCGATGACGTATCAGTGTTAAGACAGGATTGCACTTCCTCTTTCTAAGAGGGCAATTGTGAAGGGTTTTTTCTTCCCTTTTGGGATTGGGCATTGTGCAATATGGCGAGGTAAATAACTACAAAAGTACCCACTCTGGGTTTTTATTCATGTGCATTATTAATTTATGTATATGGGCACGTTCCAGCCTATGCTTTGACCCAGGATTCGAGTTGAGCAGCGGGCGTTTCTTGGATGTGATAAGGGGACCACTTTGTTGCTGTGATTCTTCTTAGGAATGCTATGGTTAGTTGGGGGAGACACCCATGTTGATGCCTTGCTGTCACGATTGCTGTGAAAGTTGTAGCATAATAGGCTTATAGAATAAATTGGTTGTTCTAAAAGAAAAAAGGGGTTCACCGTTTTTGCACCAGGATATGCGGGCTGCCTATTTGTTTCCTAATAAGTAGCTAAATGTGATGATCATAGTTTTTGACCTACTTGTAGTAACATTGGTAATAAATACAATTTTGATGTGACTATCAATAAACTCTTTTTGTATCACTTTTGTACATTCGCTTCCAGCTCGTCTCATTTTGATTGACAAAATGGGGAACGTATTAGTCTGGTGGGAAAATAGGTTCTCCCACTCCCTTCAGATAAGTGGGAGTGGCGTAGTTACGTAAGGTTACATCTTTATGTTACGTCTATTTATTATTAAAGAATTTGTCAGTATTACATTTATTTTCTGGAAATTTTTAATAATTGCATTGCAACCTGATTTAAGGTATGCCCTTACATTTTCTGCTTGCGCTCCAAATAATTTCAGTCAGGGGCAACAGCGCTCCTAGTTAAAAAAGGTGGCTTATTTTGTTTACATTTTAAGTGTTTTTATGATAAAAAATGCTATGCCCCACCATTGGTAACACTATGGTATTTGGTACGGGGGCCCAGCAAGACGGTTTGTACCCAGGGCCCAAAATTTGGTGCTTGTAGTCCAAGGCAAAGTGGAGTGGAGAGCTTTATTTTGACCCGAAAATAGGAAATTTGGGGAATTGTGTGAGAAGTTATGGATTTGTGTTAAGAGTTTTGAGAAAAGGAGGCATAACTCGTTAGGGGGCAAAATGCATTTAAAAAAAACTGTACATTTTTAGCAGTTCATGTATTTGAATTAAATTCTAGCATCATGCTGTCTGTGTTTGAGTTTCAGGAATATTCTGCGGCAGGAAATGTTTTGCTGTGCACGCCCACTTCACACTGTAATGATACAAATAGCTGTAATGATTACATCAAGTCTGCTGATATGGTATAAAGCCAACCATCTGTCAGCAAGACTGAGAAGATATACCAAGATCAAGACTCGGCTTGTCGCAGCGCAAAAATGGGTAAGAACTGAATATGTGTATTCATATGACATGTTTTGTTTTTAAAACACCTCTCAGTAAATGCAACACTTTAACATAGTCAATACAAACATATAGAGTGCCTGATAAAATCAGATCATCAATAACATGTCATAGTATAATGTTAAAAAATTATTCTTTAGTCTGTATAAAAATGTATCCTGTGATATATTTGCCTCACAGTTTAAGAGTGAATAAGAGTGTTGTTGAATATATAAAAATATGATTATGTTACATTTACAAAAGGGCATATTCTTCCAATGAATAAAACTGGACAAACAAACAAACAATTATAAAAACATGAATAAGAAAAAAAGTTAGATAAAAGTTAGAAGCAGAATAGGAAGGTATTAATTATCATTTTGGTGCCAGCGCCAGCAGCATTTGTACAATGTCTTCACTGCTGGGAGGACATCATTTTAATGTTTTAATGTTAGAATGAATTGCATTTGGTTTTCTTTCTTAAATCTGTTTGCATTCAGAATTTTGACTGTTGTTCTTTATTGCATCTAACCACCTTTAGATTGCTAAAACACTACAGGGTTTTTTTTCTTAAAAATAACACTAAAAGTGGAACTTGAAGCTCACTCACTCCTGTAACCAAATGTTCAGGCCAAACTTGCACAACGTACTTGGTAACCTCGGTTTTCTCTAGAAGAGGGAACGAGTACTGTGTAATGTCTTACGCTAAGGGAAAACTTCTTTTCGACAAGATAATGAAGCCAAAAATTATCCTTAATTTTGAATTATTGTAAAACGTGTTGCGGTAGCATGCAGACATAGACAAGGGGGCTGTAGTCAAGACCAGCTCACTCGAGTCCGAGTCGAGACCGAGACCAAAGAGAGTCGAGTCCGAGTCAAGACCAGAGAGGTTGGATAACCTAAGGTTGGGTCTGAAACCAGACATAAAGATATCTTCAATAATATGTAAAATAGTTGGTAACAATAAAATTGGCACCATACTCAAACAGTAAACCAAATATACCATGGAATCATGAACACTGTAATGGTAAAAAGGCCACATATAGTGGTGTAAAGGTAATTTTATTACAATTATTACAATCACTAAGTGCTCTTTCACATAACATTACTGCACATGAATTATGGGCGATAAGGCAGACATTTTAATGGACTTTTTTAATTTTTTAATTTTAAAAGACTTTTTAATACATAGTTGAGCTAGAGGCTCCACATCACATCTGACCTGGGTCCTGCGTGCCGCGAACGTTATGGCCAAAGCCATCAAGTCATGCGCTGTTGTGCACAAGAAAGTCAGCAATCATTGGACGTTACAATCAAATAACAATTTAAAGAAATATTAACATACAGTAATAATCATGACATATTTTGAATGGGACTTGAGTGGACTCGGGAATAAGTCTGAGTCCTAATATGTTCGAGTACGAGTCAAAATGCACAGTCCATGACAAGACCGAGACCATTAAAATATGGTCTCGAGACCAAGTCCAAGACTGAGTCTGAGTCTCGAGTACACAACACTGTAGCGTGCCTATAGCTTGTTTTCACGTGACGTCATGCCACTGCGTTGCCATGGCGCGAAACGCAGATGGAGGGCAGGAAGTGATTTTCGACATTTAGGAAGCACTATAACACACTCAAAATGCTTATGTTTTGCGTCGTTTATGGTTGCTCAAATCTAACAAACCACGAGGAGTTTTTATCGTGTGCCAAAAGTTGTTGTTCATAAGGGTGGAAAATACAAGAAATTGACAGAAAAACACCAGTGATCACTGTGTGTGTGCAGTGATCACTTCGTCAAATTTGAGTTAATACATTATTTATGTGGCTTATAATTACATTATTCAGGTGTTTAAATACACTTATGTGGCTGTTTGTGTAACGTACCGAACTTTGTAAAGTCAAAGTATGTCTGTAAGACGAGTTAGTTGCTGATATCTAACAGCCTCAATGGCAGGCAAATCTCTCAATTCAGTTGAAAACCGGTCCTCTTCATAACGTAAGGATCACGTCCAACATATGTTTCGATTTTCTGTTTATATATGTAATAGCGTCAAAGTAGTACAGTACGGATTTTCCTCCATCTCGTCCATTGCGCTCTTCACACCTTGCCCTCCATCTGCATTCCGCGCGTCAACACAATCACGTGACTGCAAACCACCTATTGGCTGTCCTGCGGCAACTGCAGCAGCCTATCGAGAGAGGCCCTTGGGTGATGGTCCAATAGGGGCGCTTTGCGCCCATTGCGTCACACTACCGCCGAAGCGGGCATCAGTGTTGTAGTACTTGAGACTCGGTCTCGAGACCATATTTTAATGGTCTTGGTCTTGTCATGGACTCGTGTGCATTTGGACTCGGAATTGACTCGGACTCGAACATTTTTTTTTTTTAGGACTCTGACTTATTCCCGAGTCCACTCGAGTTCAATTCAAAATATTTTTCATGATTATTATTGTATGTTAATTAGGGCTGTCGCGGTAACCGCAATATTGTAGTAGCTATACCGCGCTTCTGACAAGACAACCGTAGAGGATTGCACGTAACCACAGCAACCGCGATATTCAATTTTTTTTATAAGGCTATACCCTTCTTGTTTTGAACGTAATGCATGTGTATTGAATGTTAAACCAGTTCATAATGATAACAAGACTGTTTATCATGGTGATGTGTAGCCTACAGGCAGAGCGCGTGCAATTACCTCTGTCTTTGAAGTCGTGAAAAGCTTGTCGTATCAAAGGGAAGCGAAATATTTGTTGCATCATCATTTTAACGTTCTCTTCACGTGTATTTTCCCATAAATGCGCGTCAGCAGCAGCGCTGTTCAACATCCCACAGCACAAGGAAGCCGAAATAAAATCAGTGAGTCACGCATTGAATCAATGGGTCTCTAACGCCGCCTTCACACTGGCAGTTGAAATCAGCTCCGATGCGGCTGCGAAACGACCGGAAGTCATTCATTTCCTATGGAGATTCGCAGACCGCATGCGAATGGGTCCGAAACGGGTCCGACCGAGTGCGGTGCGAAGAAAATCGTGTCCGTTGGTCATCCGGATGCGTTCATAAATTTGAACTCTTGCGAAAAGCTACGGACGGTTCCTATCCGACAATTCCAGCGGAAGTTGAGCGTTGCTATGGTAGCCTACTGATAAACAAACCTGAATTATTAACTTTTAATAAAATAAATATTGATTTTATAACGATAATTTGTGATGTCATTTTTTATTTTCATGACTTTCTAACGTTTATAAGGGCAGTTAATACAATTAAATTGAAGGTAGACATTGAACTATTGACCACTATATCACATTTTTAGCCGACCTGACATGTCAACGTCCTGAGCAACTTTCCTCACGCAGCATAACCCTAATCAGAGAGATCATACAGAACTGACAGAATGAAACTTTAATCTCTCCGCCATTTTTGTTCTACCCGCGTCCAACGCTTTTCACTGTGTAGTACGACGTCCGTTGGGAACGTATTGCGTATTACGGAGCTGATTTCAACTGCCAGTGTGAAGGCAGCGTAATAAGTGAAGCATCAGCTTCAGCGTTGCCTATGCGATGCATTGCTGCTCAGCTGAGCCTCGAAAAGTTGAACATCAATGTTAGAAATAATTAACATATTGTTTCTTTACATCTCTTTTAATGAATCAGCTTTTTTAAACGTGTTCGTTGAATGAACGGTTCAATGACTCGCTCAAAGTCCGTTGTCATAACAATATGCACGCTGAGTGAAAGTTTTTCAATGCGCATATACTGTAGACGCTGTTTAGTTTCGGTTACAATGCTTACTGAAAATGTCCTCGTTTTTGTCCACATCGTAAACTTTATTTATATAGCAAATGGCGGTAATACCGCATATCGCGCTATTGAGCCACTCAATATTACCGCAAGGGAAATTCCATTACCGCGACAGCCCTGATGTTAATAAAATATTTCTTTAAATTGATTGACACATCCAGTGATTGGTGATTTTCTAGTGCGCAACTGCGCATGACAAATTGTAATAAAATTACTTTTAACACCACCTACTATGTGGCCTTTTTACCCTAAACTGATCAAGTAAATTCAGTAAAAAAAAAAAAGAAAAAAAAAAAGGATTTCTCTAAGTAAATAAAAGTAAATTAGGTAATCAACCCTCAGTGGTCTCGGTCTCGACTCGGACTCGACTCTCTATGGACTCGGTCTTGACTCGGACTCGACTCTCTCTGGTCTCGGTCTGGACTCGGACTCGAGTGAGGTGGTCTCGACTACAACACTGGCGGGCATGGCCTAGCCCTATAAATATAGCCAGAGCGTGTTGCAGGCACGTCAAGATATGCAGTACTCGTTCCGTCTTCTAGAGAGAACCGAGGTTACATTAGTAACCGAGTACGTTCTCTTATGAGAGGTTCTCTCGTACTGTGTAATATCTTACGCTACGGGAACACAATGTAAAATGCCGTGCGTTCAGGGATCCAACACCAAAGTCCCAAGGGCAAGTGCCCGGGGCTCATATAGTGTATAAACTCTATGGACTCACAGAGAGTCTGAGAAGAGAGGCTAGCAGCATCATTCCCAAAAAGTTGAGCTCTGAATGAGATCGAGCTAGAATCAGCCAATCGTCCAAGTAGTTCAAAACTCACATGCCCCGAAGTTTCAAGGGTGCGAAAGTGGCGTCCATGCACATTGTAAATGTACAGGGTTTCTCACTTCCGGTCGAAGACTGGCGTGGTCCTTTCAGTTAATTACCAATATCCATATTGCCATTCTTTTCCCAAAATACTGGGGCAAACCTACCGGTATTTAGTAAAGTCACTGTCACTACCACAGACAATGATGAGCAGCTTCGAAGTCCATTGGTAACTTTTGGTAACTGTTGGTTGGTTGTTCCAAACTCATTAAAATTAATAAGATCATATGTGTGTGTGTGTGTGTGCGTGTGTGCCATGTGCCAAGTGTGCCATGATTCTAATATCCAGCATGTTTTTTTAAAGAATTTTAAGAGTAGTCTAAAAACTCTCAAAAACTCTTCTGAGCCTGTTGATCGCCAACTAGAGAAATCATCACAGATCCATTGATTTTGGTTGGATTTTTATCATTTTTTTTTCTGTGGAATGAATATAGTGTTTGGTGAAAAGAATGGCATATTGACTGATGTCATGACTTAGGGGAATAGTTGATTGCAAATGAAAATATTGGAAAAAAGTGAAAAAAAATGACTTATTATTATTATTTTGAATTAAAATTATGCAAAATTATGTACAGTTATTTTTTCAGTGTATGTTGTCAGTACATGTATTCTTTGTATCTGGAATGCATTTTTTTCAACAGCCTAGCCAACCTTTAAGGATCTGAGGAAAAATCTTAATTTTCACATTTCTCTGATAAAAAATAAAGGGTGCATATAAATTACCACACTTTTCCCCCCGCTACAGTTCTGGCAGAGCAGAGCCTTCAATTATTGGTTATTAGGGTCAAAGTTACCAGAAAAATAAACAAACAAACAAACAAACAAACAAACAAAAAACAAATAAAAGGTTTGGCAGACCATGTCAGGTTCAACCCATTTTATTGAGCTTTTGTGACTTTGGCTCCCTGACTAAATGCAGCAGACTGATTAAAATAGCATTGAGAGCCTCAAGTTCCACTTTTAGTGTGCAAGCAATTTGAAGAAATAAAAAATAAATAAAGTATAGTAACTGCTAATAAGTGATTTTGTTATATTCTTTAATATGTAGTATGTTTTCAAAACTCTTGTGGACTCATTTCTTTGATTTACAATTCACTCATGAACTGTCACACATCACAATTTGTAATATTTCCCAAATCTCCCTAAAATCCGAAACAGACCCCACAACAGCATTCACCTGTGTTTTCTCTCTCTTTTGTGTAGAAGCCACAAGTTTTGGACCTGAAAACGTTACCGGAGTCACGACAGATTATACCACTATTCATCCTAAGGACTCAAGCAATGAGATTTTTTATTACTGCGCTTGTATTGTCACCTTTATAGTGGGTTTCATTGGAAACGGGCTTGTCATTTTTCTGGCTGGCTGCAGAATGAAGACGACAGTCAACTCTATTTGGTTTCTCAATTTGGCGATTGCAGACTTTATCTTCATATTATCCATAATCATTAATATTCACAACTTTTCTCTGAACTCATTAAGTTCTGGTGCATCGAGAGAATGGAACATCGTATTTTCGATGATGATGATAAACCTAAATCTGCGTGCTAGCAATTTTTTCCTTATAGTTATCAGTCTGGACCGTTGCCTGTGCACGTGGATGGTTGTTTGGGCTCAAAATAATCGAACTCTCTTTAGAGCCAGGATCATCTGCTTGATCGTGTGGGTTTCATCCATCGGCTGCACCATCCCTCTCTTCTATGTGAATGTGAAACCTATGTTTCAGATTGCATTTGATTTTTTAGTGGACTTTCTCGCCCCCTTCCTGATCATTGCATCTGCACACATTGCTATTGGAGTACGAATCAAACGCCTCAAAATGGGGAAGCAGCTCAGATCGTACAGGGTCATTTTTGCTGTTGTCCTGACTTTTTTCATATGTTGGTTCCCATACCATGTTTGCAGTTTTTGTTTAATAACTGCAGACAATGATACATTGAGTGAATATTGGAAACCATTGCAATTCAGTCTCTATCTGATTTTTCTAAACGGCTGTCTGAACCCCATTCTCTATGTGTTCATGTGTGATGATTATAAGAAGAAGCTTAAACAGTCTCTGCTGCTGGTGTTGGAGACGGCATTTGCTGAAGATCATCTGGACTTTAGAGAAAGGCAGATGCAAGAGGACGAGTAGAACAAGACGAACTCTTTTGAAATGTAGAAAAACTCTACATAGTCTCTAAATGATTGTGACTACCAAAACTATAAATCTCACCATTACAACCACTGTAGTCATTATGCTTTTAAAAAGCAATTTCAAAATTCAAGTTTGTGGTACGACTGTATAATTTGAGTTTTAACCAAATGGGGAAAATCTTATTAAGGGAACATTATATATGTTTGTGAAACTTTTTGTTAATCCACATAATGCAAAAGCTCATTTTGTTGGTCTGATTTATGTTTGAACTTTATTCTGAATAAAATATATAAAAAAATACATGCATTTGATTGTAATTTCCTTAAAGGAGAACTCCAAAACGAACCTTCGACTGTTCGAAACTGTTTCCTAAAGAAGGCTCCTGCCTGTATACATGAAGTGGACTGTCTTTATAAAATATCTTCTTATTAAACGGTCTGTACACTTACAAAGTTTTCAGAATTCACTTACGGAATTTTCATTTTTGGGTGAACTATCCCTTTAACTAGCAATTTCTTTTTACTTATTATTTGCCCCCATATACTAGCGTTACACAGCACGCTTAACAGAGATAAAACTCTTCACATTCGATTATCATGAAAACAAATCTCAAAGAACGGTCGACTACTAGTCCAAAGGTTCAATTTAATTTGCGCCGGAGTTCTCCATTAAGTATTTTTATGCTTTCACAGTATTTTAGAGTGATAACTTGTCACTCAAATGACAAATAGGCTGAAAACGTTATGGTTGATTCAACACAACGCAGCAAGATTTGTTTTTCTCTCTCTTTAAATATGTGCATAAGGGTATATATAAGGTTAGTCCTAGCATGATTTACCAGCTCACAAGGTGTCTGGAAGTTGACAATGTAAAAAGTACAAAAGGAAATCCAACAATGCTTGTGGAAAGGGAAATTAAAAAGTTTCTAAAAAAAAAAAAACAATGTGTTTCATCTCTGAATATTACACATGCAAAAATAGGTGACAGACAAATACTGAGCATTGAAATAGCAAAGGGGTCAAGAACTGTCATAAAGAATTCATTCAATTTATTCAATAAACACATCAAATTCAGTACTGTAGATTTATTCGAAACCCATGTGATTTTTTTAATTTTTATTTTATTTTTTTTGTATTTAATAAAAAAAAAAACAAAAAAAACAATTTAACTCACATATTTTTTATGCTAAAGTTCAGCTCTCAATTCAACATTTTGGTTACAACTATTTCACTCTCCTTGAAGGCTTTCTGCCTGGATATTTTTGTTTAATTCCTTTCAGATGCTCTAGGGATGCATGTGAACTAACGTTCATACATTTCCTTGAGGATTTTTATGCTCTCGCTGTATCTCAGTTGGTTCTTGCTGGAGGCCTCCTTCCACCTCAAACACAAATGAAACAAATGATAAAGAACATATGCACAATTTCATTTGTAAATATCAATCCCCTATAAAAGAAGTGGAAATGAATGAATGATGAGAAGTTATACTTTTGTCTAATTTTCTTCCAGCGTTTGATGTGACTGTAGATAAGCGGTGAGGTGCCTGCTGCAGTGTCTATGGACTGAAAAAGATAAGGTCACAAATGGATATGGCGACAGGAAGCACACAATTTAGCAACATTAGAGTATTGCAAACTTTAAATAGGACCTGTTATGCCCTTATACATAGTCTTGATTTTGTTTTGGGGGTCTACAAGAATAGGTTTTCATGGGTGCATGGGTGCAGCACATCTCTATTTAGTCTGTCAGTAATGCTCTGGGGTGCGTTTCCCAAAAGCATCGTTAGTAAACCATGGTCGCAAGTTCTGTCGTTATCAGCATAGTTCAAAGAGTGTGTTTCCCTAAAAAATAGTTCAAACGAACATTCGCAAACAGCATTGCAGAGCTTTCGACCTGTGGTTATAAGCATGGTTCCTTGTTTGCATGACATGTGGACTCAATAAATACTTATCTTGAGCCAAATAAGCAAGCTGATATTCAGTACAATCTGTATCTTTTATTTAGAATACATACAATTGCCATTTGCGTCTCTTTTAGAAGAGATTTAAGGAGTCGTTTTTTAAAATAGTGCACATGTGTGAATGTGTTCTACTAAGTAAGAAGGAGCCTATGATTCAATTTCAATCTGAAAATAAAGCAAAATTAATAGTCCTCCACAATTTATAGCAAAACATCTAGCGTTAATTCGATCTCAAACAGATTAATTAAAAGTAGTTATTACTTCACCACCTGCGTGACATCAAGCAGCGTGGTTGAACGACCAAAAGGGACAATGCAGTTTCAGAAAACAATTGTGACTAGCTAGTTGATATCTTCAATGGTGCATCGTTAGTTACGCAGCGAGTTACGTCGTTCGGGGAAACATACCCCCGTTTAGTTCCTGTCTAAATGAAGCCACTCCTTCCGAAAATCACAATGTCCTCTGATTGGTCCGCTGGATCAGTGTGTATGATTGGTCAAAAGCTTCAAGCGGGTTTCAGAAATGTCATGCCCCTTACCATAACCACGAGTTTCACCACACTATTAACGCATCTCAACCACATTATTTTGCATATGCCTTGGGTGGGAATTATTTAATTGAGGAATCTCAAGACTACAATTTAGATGTTTCAGGGAGTTGACTGGATTGACTGTGCTTCATGCTCAAACAGCAACATTACTCACTAAAGATACCTGAAAATGTAAAAAAAGCATAATAGGTCCTCTTTAAACGACGACAAAACCAATCAATTCAGCATGCAAAAAGGTTTACTAATCACATTCCTAAAAAAAAAGAAGGCAAAAGGTGTTTGAAGGCAACTTTATCTTCTGTCATTTAACAGTTCCTGTCAAAAGGATTGTTTGAATGCAGATCCTCATAGAAAGATAAGCGTTTCCTGTACGGTACGCCATGTACATAGCCCACCTTGCTCTCTGCTGGTTTCTCGACAGGTGGGATTCTGAGATTAACAGGTTCGCCAGCTGAACCTACTGGACAGGAAACAGGTGGAGGAAGCCTGCACACGTTCTGTCCTTTGCCATTCAGCATGTCAGTCATCTGAAAGAATAAGAATCAAAGAGCAGTTTCCCTCAATTGTGATGCTTGTTGTGGCATAAAGTACACTATTTTTCAAAGTGAAACCTTAGCGGTGAAAGGAAGCCAGTGAAATTCAATGGAAAACGATTAATTTATTTCTCCACTGGGTAATAGAATTCAGAAGGGAAAGTGAAGACAGATGTTGCAGGATTATTAATAACAACAAGCTTTGAACTTCACAACTAAAAAGGTAACTTAATATCTAAGATATTATGTTGTAGTGGGCCAAGACATGTTTTTAATTCTTCTTTTGCTCCAAGGACAAACTTCAATTAGAGAAGAACGAGGTGAAGGTCAATTTAAATACAACTCAAGCAGTCTGACATGATTTACATATACTGATTTTGTAAAATCAATTCTAAATGCTTGTACAGGGATGCCCTTGCAAAGGAAGTCTAGTGCAACAATAATAGTGCCCGATTAAACACTAAAATAACTGTATGTAAGGGTGCTTGATAACTATCTGTTTACATCAGGGGTCCTTTACTTGACTTTTCCAAGTCATTAGACTCTATGAGAATATTAGTTTTTTTTTATAGAGATCACTCTCACATAGTTTCAAGTACTGTTTAACTAAAAAAATGTATCTTAACTGGAGACATTTTAATGACTATTTTAGGTCTCTAATTACATTTTTTGGAAATTTCCTGTTTTTTGGATCGTGGGAACTTTTTTACAAGGAACTTCATTGCCAGAATTATATAAACAAATGTTCATCCACCAAGAAAAATAGTCCCACTTCAAAAACTTCTAAAAACATTATTTAGACAAACATTTTAAACCTACACATTTTTAGTACATAATTAATGTAAGTGCTCTAATAAAAATTATGAACTTCACATTTCACGATTTCCCCTGTAATTTTTTTTACAGTTAATTAATTTTAGTTTTATTTTATTTCATTAGTTGTAATGTTAATTATAGTAATCTATTTAATCATGCTTTAGTTTGTAATTTTTAGTGGCAAATAGCAATGTCAGAGAGAGTTTAGCTTGTACTTAACTTGGAATATGCCCATCTTCAAAGTACAGTCATAAACCAAAATACAAAGGTGTTATTTTGAGTAGTTCAATGTTCTGAAAAGGATGTGTATTTAAAATAATTACGAAGTGAATGCTGGGTGTGTGACCTCGTCTTCCCCGGAGCTGTGAGGGGGGCTGGCCGTAGTTCTCTCTCGCATAGAGGGGTTGTTTTTCATCCATGCCCGACAAATGGGATAGAGCGGCGTGGTAGTGCTGAACTGAGCCAAGTCCACACTGCGGTCAAATAACTTGATAATATACGCATCTGATGGAGAAGATGAGATGTGGAGCACAAAAGAAATCAGGAAATGGGTCTTATGAAATTAAGATAAAAAAAAAACCCCATTCAAATTCCAATTAATTCTCTAAAACTTCGACTTTAAAAAAATCCCTCAGACTGTTCTCTGATATGAAAACCCAACAGCATCTCAGAAATGATAAAGCATGTTATACATATGAAAGAGGCAAAGTTATCAATATGCATTTAAATTAATTTCAAATTGAACTGAATTCATCCTATATCACACTTTACTCTTTACCTTATTTTTTACTGACTAAATATACATACACACAATTATAAAATAAAGATAAATGAGCAGCTGTCTGCAACAACAGCTAGTATAGATAAGGCAAAAATACCCTGGTTTGGCTGTTGCTGAGTGTTAATTTCCCAAAATGAGAGCAGTAGACAAAGTATAGTGATCTAGCAATTACTTTGTTTGAGCTGGTTGGTTTCTGCCAGACTATCATCCATCTCTTTACGCTTCTTCCTTCTGTGTTGTGGGAATCGTGATGATGGTCTGTGAATGAAAAAAGAGGCTCTTACAGGAAACTCTACCAAACCATTGAGGAACGAATACTGTTTTGTAAATATTACTATTGTAAATATTTACAAAGCACCCTCAAATTCTGAAGAGCTTTAAGTGTTTCACACACAGCTGGAAGTAAGGCGATGATTTGCGATGATTTTTCGGTATAAAATTAAAGGGTTTGTTCATACAAAAATGAAAAATTGTCATCAATTACTCACTGACTTTTGTTCATCTTCAAAACAGTAATGGAGATATTTAAATTAAATCTGAGAGATTTTTGTCCCTCCACAGACATTCTACGCAACTACCTTTTTGTGGCTTCAAAAATTTAATTAAGAGATTGTAAAACTAGTTCATATGAATCGAGTGGTTTAATCAATTTTTTTTTAAGAGACTCAATTGCTTAATATGATGAACAGATTGAATTTAGGCTTTTATTCACATATAAACATTGATCAGCAAACATAAACAGAAGCTCAACTGCACTTGCTTGACACACAAAAAACAAACTTCAATGGTTCTTGCTGAACCTCATATGTGCAGCGTAACATGAGAGGGAACCTCATTGGTTGTTTCTAAAGCTCAAACATGCTGCGTAACACGACAATGAACCTCATTGGTTCTCGCAGGTCAAGCAAGCATGCTTAAGCTTCCATTTAATAAAACTGATGTGTGGATTGATTATACGCAAATAAAAGCCTAATTCAATCTGTTCATCAAATAAAGTGATGACGTTTCTTCAGAAAATTTGGAATAAACCACAATTCATTTGGACCAGTTTTGCGATCTCTTTATGATTAACTTTTTGTAGCATAGACTGTCAATGGAGGGTTTCATTAAAAATAACTTCATTTGTGTTTCAAAGATGTTTCAAAAAACGACATGCGGGTGAGTAAATGACAATAACTTCTCATTTTTCACTTTAAGCAATGTAGCAATGATTTACAATGCTTTCTATTTGGCCATTAATTGTCATTTGGACTGTATTGTATTGTTATATTGGTGCACAAAAAAAGGGGGCTACATAGGCTGTGTGGTCAAAATTCCCATTACTCTGATTAAAAACAAAAGAGATAATTTCAGAGCAAATTCATAAATATTCAGATACATTGATAAACATGTTTAACCATAAAATAATAGCCAGAAGATTTTCCTTGCCTTTTCCCTGCAGAAGAAGGTGACAAATCCCTGCAAAAAAAAAAATTACATTAAATTAATCTTAACCATGTACATATTTCTAGCTGGGAGAAGACAGTGTTTATAGTAGTAACATAAACATCCTGTATGTGCATACTTGCTCAAAGGGTCTGCTACCATTTTCCCAGAATCCTCTTCATTCTGCTCTCTATGCAGGAAAAGGAAGAAAAAAGCACAGATTATGATGTCAATTTCCCCAAAACAACAGCTCATTAATTTCTGAAAGCCATTTATTGCTAATATTTACTTGTCGCTTCCTGAATAATTTATCTGAATACTTTGCAAGGTTCTCAGTGAACAAATTAAAGCATTAGTGCTGATGACGACTAATGTGATTTTCTGTAAAAAAAGGGAAAACATGCTAAGAGAGTATTTCCAAAACATAAATGTAAATTATCATTAACAGCATATTAGGCAGGTATGTTTCAAAATGTTTTACTTTTGGCTTATAGGTGTATCGCTTTATGGTATACTGTATATTTGCAGATACAGTTGTATATACTTATATACAAATTTATATATAGAACTGTACAATAGTTCATATTTTGCAACAATATGTTCAAGTAAAACACTGTGATGAATGATGCATTAACGCATATTGAATATAAAAATCTAGGCACTTACGATAGTCACTGATACAGTAGGTCATACATCAATCATGTTCTTTGGCATTACTCAAACACAATGCAATCGCTAATGCCAAAGAAACAACAACAAAAGGACACAACATATTTCTGAGGGAGTACATTTTGTGATTATGCTCTTAGACATTCTGGATAACTGACAGTTTTCAAAAGTGGACTCATTTCATCTCGCACTAATGAGCTTTAATTGCCTGAGGTCCATTTGCAGCTTTGTTGTTACATCCTGAAGCTTTCAATGCTCAAGGCACATTAATGCACTAACCTCTCACTGTCACTCCTCTCAACCAGACCTTGCAATACTGCATCAAGGCGGTTTCGAGCCCCAGCATCTGCAAAAGAACCATTTTAGCACATAAATTAAATCTTTTTTTTTTTTTTTTACAGGGACACACCATGAACTACAACAGAAATGTAACAAGAAACTCTCGTTTGTAACCTCACCTGTTTTTTCAGTCTTGATTTTACAGTGAAGCATTGTGATCCTCACACAACAGGGATTCTTTACCTGTAATATCATTCAGATGATGATTTAGTGATTTGGTACTTACTTATGACTAATATAATTGAAATGGGTTAAATTAATTTACAATGAAATTAATATAAAATTAAAGGTTATATATATATATATATATATATATATATATATATATATAGTTTTTCTTTTTCGGCAAATCACTAGAAAAGTTTGAAAACGGAAAACACAGGGCTCATGAAAACCAATTAAAAAGCAGCACTATTTTGCTAATCAGCTAAGTTAAGTTACAGTGATATAAACAGCTCTCGTTAGCTAGCAAGAAAACCACTTAAATCCCTGATTAACGGCATTCCATCTCTTCACCGACTTCACAAATTCCTTAACAAACACGTAATACACTAAATAATATAACTTGGGAGGGTATAAATACTTTATAAACACAAAACAATACGTTATTCACCTTTCAAAGCTTAGCAGAGAGACTAACGACGAGACGCTTCTGTCACAAACCGACTTTCCTCTTCCGCGCGCAACGAGATTCCTGGCTCGTCATTGGCTGCAGTGGACGAGAATGCGTCGCTCTTATTGGTTCAAATGGCTGTCGATCACAAACTACGAAACATGATTGGTTGGTCAGCTATTTTCGACAACAATGTAAACAACAGTGTTCAGACTGCATATCCCAGGATCCAACACGGTCACACAATTCGAAAAGTAAGCGGAGATACTTTCTTGAAGAAATATCAGCCTATACAACAAATTTTGAATAATACTGTGTTTATATTCGGATATGTGATGTTTTTAAGTTTTAAAATAGCGTATATCTTAATAAGTACTGTGCTAATGACCATTTAATATCCCCTAGTAACGTTAACGTACTCACGCGACGGTTAAGATACAGTCCACGCTCGTGCAACATAAACGCTGTCTCTCGAATCGTAATGCATTTACAGTAAATTGTGTCTTTATTAGATATTAATGGATCCTACATGATGAAACTCGACTTGCGTCTTTTGTTTTTATTGAGCAGAACTGGTTTACATGAAAACTATGAGATCAAGGTGGGTTGGATGTCAAATGCTGTCAGAGTGTCAGATTAAACTGGATTACATCAGGTTGATTTAAAACACGTTCTCACTTTTATAAGCAGTGGATCTGTTTTCACAAGACGGAATCCATTTCCTCCAGACCCCCCTTTGTCCAGGAGCCACTACAGCCCATCAAGATCGAGAAAAATCCCTAAGCAACAAAGAAGGCTGGTGAGAAGTGACTTTGCATTACACTTTTTTATGTTTCTTTATGTATTTTGTGACACTTTCAATGGTTGCAGATTGCAATTGGCAGATAAATGTTTGGAATAGCATACTACTAAAGGTATAATTTACACAGCATGTGCATTTTGTAATTGAAACAAAATTAATTTTAAAGTACAAAATTGACTAGGTCTATATGTAGAGTATCACTGCTTGAAAATGAAAACCATTGCATATTGACTTGTGGTTCACATACTATTTTTTTATTGTAGGCACTGGCAGTATGTACTATATACTGTGCACTATTCAGTAAATTGTAAACTAGATTTCTATTTAAAAGAGTCTTCAAATGAACTGGATTTAAAGGTACAATATGCAGGATTTTTTTAAGTTGTCTCAGAGAGTGATTCGTTCATTTGGTGTTGACCGCGCATGCACAAGATCTTATAGGTTTTGTACAGGAAACAGAAATGATTAGTCCACCTCCTGAGTCTTTTTGGGTTCGGGTCCAAGTCGTTTGGTCATCCCTTAACAGTCCCATAGAGACTATGCTGTCTGTACCACCAAGATAAATTATTAGTTCACCTCTCAAGTCTTCGGTTCTGAGTCGTTTGTTCTTTTGTCACATGACGTGACAGCTGTATTGGATACAGAAATTAGTTAATAATTTCCAAACTTCCTTACAAACAAGTGCGTAGTCAGTTTTTTTTTTTTTTACTTTTACAGTTACATGTCTTTCTCCTGTAACTGTAACAGCATTTCTCGTCTTAAATTGTAGCTTTGTAATTTGTTTCAGTTCATAAATTTGTGAATTTCTGTCATGATGGTTCTTTTTCCATAGCATTGAATGTGGTAAAGAGTTGGGAAATGCTGTAAACTAGCAGACTGCATAGCCTGAAAACTCAGATAAGCAATGAATGAATTGTTTTCTGTTTCTTATAATTTGGCCTTGGTTGTATTATTTTTTTTTTCTTATTCAAAAAAAAAAAAAAAAAAAAAATACATATATATATATATATATATATATATATATATATAGACTGCAAAGATTCCATAAAAAAACAAGAATTGTCCATTTTGATTTAATGGTGACTTCAACAAGTCATTGGTATCTCAATGCAATGATAACTGCTAACTGCTGAGATGAGAAAAACATGGCTTTAACTGATAAAAGCACATGGTGATGTTGTCTTTTTTGGCATTGCACATTGCAGGCCTTGAGTCCTGTCCGGTTTGCTGAGCCACCCTGTCTTCCAGATCCTCCTACTCAGATATCACCTTTGAGGACGGAAGACCAGGTTCTCCATGAAAGATCACGTAGTGTCTTGCTCTGCCCTCCTTCGTCTAATGCACGCCAGCTGAGCTTCTCAGAGTCTTGGCCTTCTACTGACCCGAGTTGCTCCACAGATGACACTAACGCTTCTCCTTGCTCTGAAGCTCAGATGCAAGCCATGAGAAACATGATTTCACCAGTGACAACGGAGGCAAAGGACCCCTCTGTTCTTGCAAAGTAAGAGACATCTCTATTGGCAATATTACCATTGGTTTTAAAATAGTGCTGTCAAATCTATTAATCAAGATCGTTTATATAATGGTGCCTTTCACTGCATGGTTGGGTATGGCCGAATACTTTTTGATGTGACAGTTTATGGCTATATTTTTGAGGGTGAGCAAAAACCCACTTTTTTTGTGTCTGTCCCTTTAAATGCAAATGAGCTACTTTTCCCAGGATAGAGGGCGGAGCTTCAACAGCTTGTGTCCTTTTAGCTCACACAGACATGGACTGAAAATTTCTAAAACCTTTAGCCTTTTTCGGAGGGAGTTATGTAAATTTTTAGGGTTGGTGACGTCACTAATCAGGGAGGAATGTAGTCCTCACTGATTAAAAATCTTAAAAATCTTGGTCATGGTTGGTCTGTTTAAATATTATTATTATAAATTAATAATTTTTTTACATCTGGAACTGGAGTTTGTTGTCAAAAATACAGTAATTTCACACACCATTTTTTATGTAGTAAACCATGCAATTGAGATGTCAACAGTAGCTTTCCTTATGAAAGGAAAGCTGGTATTCTAGAGTAACTTTGTCACATGTGGTCATGACTCTGGTGACACATTAATTCTCAGATGAGCAGGTCTGGGACATTTAATACACCCTTTTGTTTACGTTTAAGAATATATTGTTGCTTGTTCGTTATGTGACATCCTTCTTGCAATTAAATCCTTCAAGGTACATTGAACGCTTCCGTTTTGGAAGGCCACAGAGTCGAGAAGAACGACAGCTTCAGGCAACTGAGGGAAGAGATGATCAGCTGTTTTGGTGGATGTCCACATCCCCTCCATCCACTTCAACACCAACGCAAACATTAGAAAAACATATCAGAGGTGTGCTGACCCAGTTGATTAATACAGGCCTGTACTATTTCAAATATTACATCTGTTTTTTTTTTGTTTGTTTTTTTTGTGGATTGATAATATAAAGTATTTCAGATCACACATCACACTTTTTTCCTTTGTGTGTATGTATCGTGTGTAGATCCACTTGAACTCATGAATGATGGCCCTACCAGCTCCCAGAGCCCAATCTCAAAGCCACTGCATGATGAAACCACACTGTCTCCAGCTAGACACATGCTTGACCTCAGTATGCTGGTAGGTTTTGCAGAAATTTGAACAACTGATTTGCCTGAAAGAGCTGAAGTCATTTTGACCGTATGTTAAAGTAGGTCTTACATATGTTGTCGTTGTGGTCAAATTGTGTTTATGATGTATATAAGAAGAACACTAGATATATTTCCTCATGTTGCCAGATGTGGTTATGCTGTGTGGTGAGTGATTGTTTCCATCTAGTGGTGGTAGCTGGGAAATCTCCCTCCATGAGAGTTCTTCATTTAAAGCAGGAATATATGTGTACTGTACAAAGCTTGATCAGTGAGGGTTTTTTTTTTTTTTTCTTAAGAAATCTATACTTTTATTCAGCAAAGATCCATAAAATTGATCAAAAGTGACAGTAAAGACATTATAATGTTACAAAAGATTTATATTTCAAATAAATGCTGTTCTTTTGAATAGTTATTTTAAATTGTAATGATATTTAAACAATATTACTGTTTTTTTTTATAAAATAATTATAGCCTTGGTGACCATAAGAGACTTCAAAACATTTAAAACAGATCCAACAGATCCCAAACATTTGTGTATGTATATATATATATATATATATATATATATAAATAAAAAACAAAATTGCACAGATCGGCAGGAATGGTGTGCATTTTGCAATTATGGAAACATCTCTAGAATGCCTCAGCATTAAAGGATGGAGAACTCACTCTGATAATCAAACCACCTGATATAAAGCCGTGTCCATTGAGCATCAAATATGTGTATTGTAATGTATTTATAAATTCCCCACAACAGAGAGTTATGTAACCCTTTGCACACATTCCCTGTTTTAAGTTGCAGGGCGTCACTCGTGGTCTTGACGTTCGTTAGCAATGATTTAACATGCCTGATGGAAACAATCCGGGCTGTCCTTTAAATATCAGTAGTCATTAGTGCCTTAGTGACTGTTTTTACTGGGGACAGTATTAGAGTTTTTCATAATCTCATAGATCGTCACCACATAATTCTGTCCAGACATCATCTTAATTATCTGACTTACATTTTAAAATAAAAAGTTATTTCAAATTGTAATATTTCACAATATTACAGTTTCACTGTATTTTGGATCAAACAAATGCAGCCTTTTTGACTGTATCTATTTTCTATTTTAACATATTTAAAAATGTAATTTATTCCTGTAATCACCACCACAAATGTTCTATTAGTCTTTATCTGAGTCATCGCACTGTGACCAAGAAGAACCAGAGATACTGCAGCTACAGGAGCGGGCCAACCGTTTACTGCAGAGAAGGTAAAACCCCCACCACACAAACTGTAAACATGCACTCACTCAAATGTCATTTCGCAAGCGATTAATGACCGCCAACATGTTCAGTTTCCTGCCTGAGTGTCAGGACTGGAGTTTCACAATCAAGTGAGCTGTATTATTTTTATTTAGCAAGCATGCATTACATTGCTTCTCTAAAAAGAAAATAATGTCATCTATAAAGCAGCTCTGTAGAAAAGACAAGTGACAATAAAGACATTTATAATTACAAGATTTCAATTAAAAAAAAAAAAAACGTATTCTTTTAAACATATGGTTATAATATCAGTCAAAGGTCAACCGACGGAAAAACACAAGATATTCTCCATTAATTTTATCCAATCAAAAAAATCTGCCGAGATTCGGTAACCTCTCTGA